TAGTAGTAGTAGTAGTAGAAGTAGAAGTAGTAGTAGTAGTAGTAGTAGTAGTAGTAGTAGTAGTAGTAGTAGTAGTAGTAGTAGTAGTAGTAGTAGTAGTAGTAGTAGTAGTAGTAGTAGTAGTAGTAGTAGTAGTAGTAGTAGTAGTAGTAGTAGTAGTAGTAGTAGTAGTAGTAGTAATAGTAGTAGTAGTAGTAGTAGTAGTAGTAGTAGTAGTAGTAGTAGTAGTAGTAGTAGTAGTAGTAGTAGTAGTAGTAGTAGGAGTAGGAGTAGGAGTAGTAGTGGGAGTAGTAGTAGGAGTAATAATAATAGTAGTAGCCCTGAGTCGCCGAAAGATCGTTCCAAGACGCCCAAGATGGCCTCCAGACGGCCGTAGCGCCAAGAAACCGCGGGGAGACTCAGGAGGCCCTCCAAGAGCCTGAACAAGCAAAAACCTCCCAGGCATTCGTCACCCCAGGGCCTCCTGGAACGCCCCGGCGCCCAATGAATTGGCGAGCTAAAAACGTGCGCCGAACCAAAGCGGGAGCGCAACTTTGAGAAAATTTCGCTCGGCGCCCAAGCGAGAAGGTCATTTCATTCACTTCGAGCGGGGGGGGGTGTGCCGCGCCCAATTCTTGCCATGCACTTTTGCGGGGTGGGCAACAAAAACAGCTATTTGGGCAAGCGAAAATCAGCATGGCATTGCTTCTGACAAGTAAGGTGGCCCCTCCCACCTTGGGGTTGCCCCGAAGTCCGCGCGCGATGCGCGCCGCGCCCCATTCCTGCCACGCATTTCGCATCGTCGACGACAAGACAGGCCATGATGAAAGGAAAAACGGCAACTCTGTATTGTTTTTTGCAGTCAGGATGGGAGGGCCCGCAGCCCGCATGGACGTCCGCGCGCGATGCGCGCCGCGTCCCATCCCTGCCACATATTTCGCACCGTCGGCGACAAGGCAGGCCATGCTGAGAGGAAAAAACCGAAACTTTGTATGGATAGTTTCACAGTCAGGATGGGCGGGCCCAGGTTGACGGCCGCGCGCGATGTGCGCCGCGTCCCATATGTGCGCCGCGTCCCACTGCTGCCACATATTTCGCACCGTCGGCGACAAGGCAGGCCATGCTGAGAGGAGAAACGAAGACTTTGTATTGATTTTTTACAGTCAAAGTGGGCGGGCCCACATTGACTGCCGCGCGCGATGTGCGCCGCGTCCCATTCCTGCCACGCTTTTCGCATCGTCGACGACAAGAAAGACAATGTTGAGAAGAAACACGGCCACTTTGTATTGATTTTTTACAGTCCGGATGGGAGGTCCCGGATTGGGTCGCTATCGGCCGGAATACGACGTAGGTGGGGGTATATTCTAATAAGGAACAAGGATGTGTGTGTGTGTGTGTGTGGGGGTGTGGGTGTGTGGGTGTGTGGGTGTGTGGGTGTGTGGGTGTGTGGGTGTGTGGGTGTGTGGGTGTGTGGGTGTGTGGGTGTGTGGGTGTGTGGGTGTTGGGGGTGTGGGGGTGTGTGGGTGTGTGTGTGGGTGTGTGTGGTTGTGTGTGGTTGTGTGTGGGTGTGTGTGGGTGTGTGTGGGTGTGTGGGTGTGTGGGTGTGTGGGTGTGTGGGTGTGCGGGTGTGTAAGTGTTGGGGTGTGTGGGTGTGTGGGTGTGTGTGGGTGTGTGGGTGTGTGGGTGTGTGGTGTGCTTGTGTTGTGTTTGTGGTGTGTTTGTGTTGTGTTGTGCTGTGTTGTGTTGTGTTGTGCTGTGTTGTGTTTGTGTTTGTGGTGGGTTGTGTTGTGTTGTGTTGTGTTATGTTGTGTTGTGTTGTGTTGTGTTGTGATATGGTGTGTTGTGTTGTGTTGTGGTGTGGTGGGTTGTGTTGTGTTGTGTGTTGTTGTGTTGTGGTGTGTTGTGTTGAATTGTGTTGTGTTGTGTTGTGTTGTGATGTGTTGTGTTGTGTTGAATTGTGTTGTGTTGTGTTGTGATGTGTTGTGTTGTGTCGTGTCGTGTTGTGTTGTGTTGTGATGTGTTGTGTTGTGTTGTGGTGTGGTGTGTTGTGTGTGTGGTGTGGTGTGGTGTGGTGTGGTGTGTGTATTGTGTGTGTGCGTGTGTGTGTGTGTGTGTCAGGCCCCTTGTCATTGCCTTAGCTCTGCCCCCGAGTGAAGCAGTAACGAGTAGGACGCCCTCCTCCGCGCTGCGGCCAGCGCGTGCCCGCTCTGGGCCCTCAGTCATGTTACTTTGGGCCCCCGGAAAAATCAAGATGTAACGTCGGCGTGTCAGCAGACCAGAACTGTTACGGCGACTTCTCGGAGTTATCCTGCGTGGCAAGGGACAAGAGGGTGTTGCGACAGTTTCGCGTCTCTTCTCGCGCATGTATACTGGCACGTCTGTTAGTATCTTGGCCCAGAGCGCTCAGCACGCGAGGCCACTCCTGGGTTAGCAGAGTCCCGTTGGGCCAAAACGTACCCGTGTCACGAAGCATCACCGCTTCAGCAGGAACAGTGCATCCATCATCATCTGCCCCCCCCCTCTCCAGACGACTCCACCATAGCGTGGAGGCGGGCATGCAGAGCAACGAAACTGCAGCATGTTGTGCCGACATGCTGGCAGCGCGTCGCCCGTGCCTGCCACAGAGGGTCGCGCCACCAGCACTGTCGACCCTCCCGCCAGCTCCAGGTGGGGCCAGTGAGGGGACGAGAGGTAATGAAGGGGCCCTGGGACACACAAATAAATACACACAAATAAAATGATTCCCCATAGTTTCCCATATTTTCTGGGTTTCTGTCTTCCCCCCCACTTCCCATGTTTTCCCATATCTTCTGGGGACTCGGGGATTCATTGTGTCGTTGTGTTTTTTCTCCTCCCGAGGTAAGGCCGCAGGGGAGGAGGAACGAAATCAGGGCGGGTGCAGCCATCCCGGGGCAGGCGGGGGGCCGGGCGGAAAAAAAAGGGTGGCAGTGATGGGGAGCCCGGATCCTGCCCACGATGCGGACCTGCAGCGGGTGGCGCCCCTCGGAGCCGAGCTTGTGGCCGGGCAGCTCCGCCGTGATCCGCATCCCGCCCTCGCTGTCCTCGACCTGGAAGTGACTGGCCTCGCCCAGCGCGCCAGAGCCGTCCCCCAGCGCTTTCAAGATCGAGGACATCTGGGGCAGGGCACTTCAGAAGGACCCGCTCGCACGCAGGCGAAACAAATGCAATCGATTGCACGGCAAGGATTGTGCAAATCAACACACCTGGGTGCAGTGCCCTACATGACCTGTCATGCGGCCAGCGCGAGGCCTATCGCCTGCCAGCACCTTCGACCTCGCACGACTTTCGACCGCGAAGTGCTGAAGCGTGTCGTTGGGGAGCATGAGCCGACGGAAAATGAAGGCCAAACAAACACGGGAATCATCCTGTGGGGCTGCATGTCTTTTCAACCTTCGCATCCGTAATACAGACACGCTGCACAAACAACAACTCTCGGACGTCCGCCCGGATCTCCAGAAGTTCTTTCCCCAACCAATGTGAAGGGGCCCTGGGACACACAAATAAATACACAAAATAAAAGGATTCCCCATATGTTCCTATAGTTTCTGGGTTTTTGTCTTCCCCCCACTTCCCATATTTTCCCATCTTTTCTGGGGAATCGAGGATTAAGCGTGTCTGTGTGTTTCTTTCCCTCCTGACAATGCTCGAGTGATATGGCTCGTATATGGCTTCCGCAGCTCTGAATGGCTTTTTCGACCGGTGGTCGCCCGTGGCCAGTTCGTCGTGGCCGCATGCTGCGGTGGGTGGCGTTCTGGGTTTTTGGCCGGCGGCCGCCCGTAGCCGGGTTGTGGTGGCCCGTGCGCTGGCCGGCGTGTCTGGGCTTCTTACCGCGCACCATATTGCAAGTTGCACCACACAGATTGTACCATACAACGTGAACCAACACCACATGTCGCGCCACATGGGCTGTCCTTTCGGAAGGATGACGTGATGCACCCCCCGCCCGAGAGCGGACGTATCCGTTCAATCTCTCCTGATTGCAACTTGCATATGGCTCTGTCCCATCGTCGTTTCCAATTTGAAGTCGTACCATCCTAGCCAAGACGGCATCGCGCCCACCCCCCCCCCTCCATCCTTTCCAAATAAGGGCATGCATGCGAATTCGTGTAACTCTCAGAAGATGATGTTCCAAGAACCGCTCTGCAGAAACAGTATCTCAGAGTCCACACGCGCGCGCATGTCAAAATCAGACCAAACACATCAGCTCGGAGAGCCTTTCGACACACAAACCTCGAAGCCTTGCTTTAGGTCGGGCACGTCCCCCTACAGGCGGATGTTGGGCGAACGAAGAAAACATATACAAAACATAACATCGAACAAAGTCCAAACATAATCGAACACTCGTCCCCCAAGTATCTTGTAACTATTTTCGAATCTTCCTCCTGTAGAGGGACATGCCCCACTGAAGCCTGGCCGCGAGACGGCGAGACGGCCAGCCCCGCCCCTGCCCGCCCGCGCGCCCCGCAGCGGCAGAAGCCCCTCCGGGCGGCGCCGGCCGCGGCGCTCGGCGGCGGATGCAGCCGCTGGCGCCGGGGGCGTCTCATGGTAATCACCAGGGGGAGGAGGAGGAGGAGGAGGAGGAGGAGGAGGAGGAGGAGGAGGAGGAGGAGGAGGAGGAAAAGGAGGAACGAGGAGGACGAGAGGAGAGGAGGAGGAGGAGGAGGAGGAGGAGAGGGAGAGGATGGGGAGGAGGAGGAGGAGGAGGCGGAGGAGGAGGAGGAGGAGGAGACGGCGGGGGGGAGGGACGTCATCGAACGTCGGATTTCGAAGCCTCCTAGATGGGGTCCGAATAGGCGAGGCGAGGCGCCGGCGTGCGTCCCGACGGGGGGGCGGCCCTGCAAGGGCGCGGCGTGCGGGCAGTGGCCCGGTCAGAGCTGGAGGTCGGTGTTGTGGTAAGTAACAACTTTCTCCTCCTGTGCATCCCATTGTTCTTGGTTTGTGGTTTGTAGCAATTCGCAACTGTTGTCTACAATCGTTGCCGCCGTCGTCGCTGCTGTGCATGATGTGCTCCGCGCCGAGAAATATTGTCATATCATCTGGCCAGCGCTTACGCTGTCCACTGGAAGGACGGAGGATCTCGCCGCATCGCAGATACATCGGCGATGCGCCCGCGACGTCGGCGATACGTCGGCAACATCGGCGTGAAGCAACTCGGGCTCCACATCGATCCGCATCGCCAATGCGTCGGCGATGCGGCGCGATCCTCCGACTCCATCTACTCTGACCCCATCTAGGAGGCCTGGAGGATTTGGAGAAAACAAAAGGTAGCGAAGCCGCTGCTCCCTGGACCTCTCCTGGGGCGCGCTCTGGCCAGGATTTCGAGGCGGACCCAGCGGCGGCGACGAGGGCCTCCGAGGAGGCCCACTGAGGGGGAAAACGGGCGAAGGGTAGAGGTGTACCTTCTCATCTTCTGAGGGCTGGGCGTCGGGCCGTTCTCGAATGGGTAAGGCAAGTCGTCGCCAGGCGGCTCCCCGCGCCGCGCTCCCAGCGCGGTGCAGGGCTGCTCGCGCGCCGCGCACCCAGCGCGGCGCGCCCCCGCCGCCCCCTCCCCCCCCGGCGCGCTGCACTCCCAGCAGCGGCGCGCGTGCGCGCGCGCTCCACCTTCGAGCAGGGGATCGACTACAACATTATTGATTTGATTTACCCCAGAATTTGTTCGTTCAATAGATCGACTGCACATTCTACACACTGATCGTAGATTTGACGGAAAAAACATCTTGGGGGTAAACCCATTCTGTAGTCGATCACCTGTTCGTCACCAGCGCACATCAATCAATCCCCTGCGGTCGCGGCGCGCAACGGTCTCCCCTTTACCACTCTCGCTTCCCCCCACGCTGGCGGCCCCATCTCCCTCAATAACACCGGGCCAGCCTTAGAGAGTCCTAAGAAGCCTGCTGCAGCTCGTCTTCACTGTCTCCCCCTCCTCCCTACCGTGCGGACCAAGACGAGCTCGAGATCGCAACCTCCCCCAATTCAGACCGCTCGCTGAACTCCCGCGGGGCGTTACCTCGACCTCGTTCCTACCGCGCGGACGAAGACGAGGTCGAATTCACGACCCGTCGCAATTCAGACCACTAGTCGGAACGCTGTTCCCACAGGCACGTGGCGGGGTTTGCCGCAGGCAGTTGGATAAGTTGCTCCACATCGAGTGCAACACGAAGACTGCACGGAGTATACTGGCCCACGCAGAATGCATGTCATACATCAATATATATATATAATATATATACACAAATATATATATATATATATATATATATATATATATATACATATGCGTTCATACATGTCATCTCACATACTGCACGACATACTTTAAATCCCATAGAGACTGCAACAGATATTGCAACACATGCGTTGCAACGCATAGATTGCACCGTACACGGATCGCACCACTTATATCGCACATCGAACGTGCACAACCTATACGGATTGGGGTCCACGGTGGCAAACACAGGTACGCCGACATGTGATACCCTTGCGTGGGACGGCTACTGCCTAAACGCGAAGACAGCCGCTGTTCGACTGTGCTCACTGTGGCCGGCTCCAAAAACCCTGGATCCAAACATGTTGGCGTCTCGAACTGACTTCCGCCGACCTCCCGCCACCATCCGACGGCGGAACCGTCACCGTTTCACTCCCGCCGCCTCCAGCCGGCCTTCGGCCGGCCTCCGCCCGAGGCGAAACGGGGCCGAGCGCGAGGCCCTTCCCAGAGCGTCCCGCGTGGTTTTGCTACGACTGCCTGCGCTGCCGCCGATGTGTCGTCACGCCACGGCTCCCGACCTGACCTGAGGAGGAGAGGGAGGAGGAGGAGGAGGAGGAGGAGGAGGAGGAGGAAGAGGAGGAGGAGGAGGAGGAGGAGGAGGAGGAGGAACTGAACTGAACTTGCCTTGGATCCCTGCGGACGTCGAATACTCGAGCACTCTACCTCGCGTCGTAGTCGAAATCGAGATCTGGCCTAGATGACATTGCACACTATCACTTCGCAGAGAGCCTGCAGTCGCCAGAAAGCGATCAGGCCCGACCGCACCTTGGGCCCTCACGCAGAGGGCAAAGGGCGGTGTGGCACCTGCCTCAAAATTTTCCACCTCGTCCTCGCCCCTTGCCCTTGCCCTTGCCCTTACCCCGCCCCCGACTCCCGCCCTTCCCTTCGGGCCTCGGCTCGGGGGGACGGTGGACTAAGAACTGATTCGGGAGCACACTAGTGAAAGTGAGATCTGGGACTGCATTAGGAGGAGGGCGTGGGGGCGGGAGTAAGCCTGCCCGATTGAGTTCCCTAAAACGCTCACTCGTCAGGAAGGCTGGGGGGACGGGAAAAAGAGAAACAGAGCCCCCACTCAGAAGAGAGACTGCCTGAGGTGCGTGCTGGGTTGCACGCGAGGGAGCCTGCGAGGATGCACTCATCGTAGCAGGCGCAGATGTAGCGGTACATGGCGGCTTACTGCAGGACGCGTGTGCTGTGCCCAAAAAACTCATTGTAGCTCCTGAAGCCTCGCCTCTCAACTCCTTCGATGTAGTCACTTGAGGAGCCTGCTGATGTCGCGCTCCAGGGCGCCACGGGGTGCTGCTCCGTACCTCCTCTTGCCGCCCTGGGTCATGATGGCTTTCACGAGGATGTTCCTGACCTTCACAAACTCTGGATGAAAGCAAAACTGCACCCTGCACTTGTCCTTGCCCTGCGCCGCCTTGCCCTTGTTCCGCTTCACGCGGAAGATCGTGACTGACGACCCCAGCGCGTCGATCTCCGTCTGCATGACCACCTCTTTGTAGTACTTCGCCAGCGTCTCTTTGTCCTCTCCTGTCGCCTCTTGTCCGAGCTTCTGCACCACGCGCTGCCATACCACGAGATGCGGAGGGCCGAGGGAGCCGGTGTCGACGTCCTCGCCGTTATCCGCCTTCTTCTTGAGCTCCTGGGCCTCCGCGTTGTAGTCCGTCCCGGCCTGCAGGCCGTGCACGGCGAGCGGGGCCGCGCTGTCCATCTCCCATGTCTCGACCACAGCGGACGCCAGCTCGGCCTGTTCGCGCGCGACCGTCAGGGCCAGCCTCGCTGTCAGTTGCACCAAACGGCCCTGGGAGTCGTCCTCCTTGCGGCGCTGCTTCTCCCTCTCTGGTTGTGTGCCCGTCACCGCTGCCCCCCGCTTGCCCGCCCACTGCGGCTTCTCCTCGAACGTGCTCATACCTCTGGATAGCTCGAGGTAGGTGCGTCAAGAGATGCTCACAAAAAAGGTCCGCGTCTTGTTCAAAATGGCTACAGATCGGACAAGTCGTGGCCAGGGTCAATGGGGCGTGTTGATTTCTCGTACGGTCCTGCATGCAGAAGCCTCTCGTCATCGATCGGGACAGGTGTCGCCAGGCCGTATTTCTGCATGTGAATGTTTGTCTGCAATGAATACACTGATTATTCGTCGTCAGGATCGCAGCGAGGTTGTGTATGTGGTGGCATTTAATGATATGGCTCCTCAGTGCTTTTCGGCTCGAAAAACTCGCCCCGCAAACCTTGCCCTCCTGCAGGATCTCACACCTCCAAGTCTTGACACCCTCCAAGGCCTCCTCCTCCATTTCGATATCCCTTCCCGCCATCGTCTCCGTCGTCGGTGGGATCTGACAGCGTAGTTTAGTTTGACGAAACTCCTGAACATCCAGTCGTGAAACCTGCTGCTGGATCTCGCTGGAAAAAAGTCTCTGGGGGGTGATCTCCTCATCCTCGAAAACCTGCTGGAAGCTCTCTGTGCACTCGGTCGCGTCCCTAAAGTCCTGCACGAACCTACGGGCCCACGGGTTGCTAGAGTCGGTCATCGCGGGGTCAGGGTCCGAGGTGGGTGTCGTCTCGAAGTCCAGGGCCCCGAACATTGCCACAGGAGGAGGAGGAGGAGGAGGAGGAGGAGGAGGAGGGGAGTCCAAGGAAAGACTGCCGGTTGCAGTTCCCCACGGCGCGCCGCCTGCAGCTGCAGCGGCATCATCGGCATCCCGAACGCGGGGGCACCGCCCAGCTGGCGGCCGCCAGAGACCTGAAGGTCGGAGGGAGTGATACATGACTGTCGTTACGATGACGACGCTGATGACGATGATGATGATGATGGTGGTGATGATGATGATGATGATGATGATGCTGATGATGATGATAATGATGCTGATGATGATGATGGCGATGAAAATGGTGGCGGTGATGATGACGATGATGGTGACGATGATGATGACGTTGACGTTGACGTTGACGTTGACGATGATGATGATGATGATGATGATGATGATGATGATGATGATGATGATGATGATGATGATGATGATGATGATGGTGTTGGTGATGGTGATGGTGATAAGTATGATGATGCTGATGATGCTGATGATGATGATGTTTATGATGATGAGCAGGAGGAGGATATCGATGGCGGCGATGGCGATGATGGCGATGACGATGAGCTAGGCCAACGCACTTCGAGCACCGCGCCCCCTCTTTGCGCTGCGGGGGGGGCATCTTCGCGACCTCGCGCAGGGCCCCTGGAGACGGGCACCGCTCTGCTCCTGGGACGCGGGGCGTCCTGAGAGCGGTCGCCTCCCCGCGCCCCCCCGAGGGTGTGATCTGCAGCAGGCGCCTGCCCGAGCGGGCCCCGCCGACGGCGCTTGGCACCTCGAAGCCGAGTCGCACCTCCACGCCAGAGGAGGAGGAGGAGGAGGAGGAGGAGGAGGAGGAGGAGGAGGAGGAGGAGGAGGAGGAGGAGTGAGAGAAGAAGGAGGAGGAGGAGGAGGAGGAGGAGGAGGAGGAGGAGTAAGAAGAGAAGAAGGAGGAGGAGGAGCATGACACTTCGAGCCCATGGTCGGGAACTGTTGCTTAGCGTGTCGCGGGGGCAGCCCCAGCGAGACGCTATCCCTCGCGAGCGGATAGCACGTCGCTCCGCTCCGCGGGGCTGGGGACTGGGAAAGCCTCGCCTGGGGCCGGGGAGTGAATAGCGTGCAGCGCAGAAGCGTGGTGGGCCAGAACCAGCGGCGCGACACGCTATCCAAAAACTCCCGACCGCAGGTTCCGCCGAGGATGCTCCGTCGAGGATGCTCATCGATCCGCCTCGATCCTCGAGCCGCCTCGATCCCCAACCCTCCTCGATCTCCCTCGATCCCCGATCCCCCTCGATGCTCGATCCGCCTTGATGCCCGATCTCGCTCGATCCTCGATCCCCCTCGATCCTCCTCGACCCTCCCTCGATGCTCCCTCGATCCATCGCTACCGCTGGGGTGTGCCCCACCGAGGATGCTCCGCGGCTCCGGCCACGCCCGACCCGGCCGCCCGGAGCGCCCGCGCCGACGGTGGCCGCACTCTGACGCCGCGGCGCCCCGCACGCGGCCGCGGGGGCAGAAGCAGGCATGAGCTCCTCCCCCGCC